TATGACATAGTAAAAACCTGTCTTTAGATTTTGTCTTCATTAACTGTCTCAAATTCCAGAAAAAAAAAAGATAACTCAGTTACTTCAGAGAATAGGATCTTGCAACAGGGAAGTTCGTCATGCCCTTACTTAACTACCTTTAGGAATTTTTCAGTAGTGACAGTCAACTACCTAGAACAGCTTAACTGAGAAGCTGGACACAGTAACTGAGAAAACAAATCCAAAGATCTAGTTTCTAAGCCCATTCATTTTCTCCTAACCTGTCACAATAGTCAATTTGTTTTATTTTATAGGAACCCACAATTATGAGACCTTGGATCTTTTAGAGAGACTTAAAGAAGTCTCTCTTTTAAAGAGATGTTGAATATTTAAGAGCCTGAACCTTTAAAATGTAGAGATTTTTAAAAATATGGTAGGACTTTTAAGGTGATAATGTATTTTATATTATGATATTAATTTCACCATGACATCTTGAGGCACAGAACTACATGAATTTGTTAAATACAAGTGATTTTGTCAGTGATTATTAGTTCAGTTTTATATTACAACAGTAATGATGAGCTCAAGCTGTGTGAAATGCCACAAACAAACACATATGAGGGAGTCATCACTGGAACACCATACAACCAAGTAAGAGTTGTAGAAACTAGGATCTGTCTTTCATTGGGCATCAAGTAATCATTTTTATCTAAATATAACTACATACATTCTCAGGCAGTTTGATATCACTAGCAGTCAGAAACTGTGATTTCTTTTTTGACCAGATAAAAATGTCTATATTTTTGTATACCTGTATATTTTATATATCAAGTGATGTTCCTTTTAAAGCATCATGCCATCTTAATAATCACAACTGATGCCTAAACTAGAAATTTACCTATCACTTTGTAATTTTTACACTAGGAAATAAGACATTGAATGGTATTATTATAAGAACCCATTTGTTAAAATCCTATTTTGAAAACATTAAAGGCCCTTTCTGAAAATTGTTCCTTCCCTTGGCAGCATCCTTCAGGAAACTGGCAAGGATCAGCAGACCTGGGCTTTCAAAATACTTCTGTTCCCAAAGGCAATTCATCATATGAGGTCATTTTATTTCTCAAGTCTTGTGTTTCTGCCCAAACCAAGCAACTGTCACCCTCCAAGATCCTCCTATCAAATCTTATTTTTTTTACTGTTGTTGTTTGCTTAGCTGATTGTTGTGGTGATTTGAATAAGAATGGCTTCTATAGTCTCATAGATTTGAATGCTTGATCCCCAGGGAGTGGCACTATTTGAAAGGATTATAAGGTATGGCCTTATTGGAGGAAGTGTATCACTGATGATGGATTTTGAGGTTTCAAAAGCCCATTCCAAGCCCATAATCTCTCTCTTGGCCATCTGATCAGGATGTACCTCTCAGCTACTTCTCTACACCATTTATCCCTGTGTGCTGCTATGCTTCCTGTCATAATGACAATGGAATAAACCTCTGAAACTATAAGCAAGACCCCAATTAAATGCTTTATTTGATAAGAGTTGCCTTGGTCATGGGCTTTGAGGTTTCAAAAGCCCATGCCAAGCCCGGAGTCTTTCTCATAGGCCAGCATAAGAGGATGTAGCTCTCACTTACTGCTCCAGAACCATTTCTGCCCCTTGTACTACCATGCTGATAAAGGACTGAACCTCTGAAACTGCAAGCAAGACCCCAATTAACTGTTTTCTTTGATGAAAGTTGCCTTGGTCATGGTGTCTCTTAACAGCCATAGAACACTCAGAGCTGTTTTTCATTTGATTGGCTGGTTTTGTTTTTTGAAGCATACTTTTTATTTATTTATTTATTTATTTATTTATTTATTTATTATTGAGAAAAGGAAAAAAAAGTATCCGCCTCCTCCTAGCCTCCCATTTCCCTCCCCCTCCTCCTACCCTTCTTCCCCTCCCCCTACTCCTCTCCCCCTCCCTCTCCAGTCCAAAGAGCAGTCAGGGTTCCCTGCCCTGTGAAAAGTTCAAGGTCCGACCCCCTCCGTCCATGTCTAGGAAGGTGAACATCCAAACTGGCTAGGCTCCCACAAAGCCAGCACATTACGTAGGTTCAAAACCCCGTGCCATTGTCCTTGGCTTCTCATCAGCCCTCATTGTTCGCCATGCTCAGAGAGTCCAGTTTTATCCCATGCTTTTTCAGTCACAGTCCTGCTGGCCTTGGTGAGCTCCCAATAGATCAGCCCCACTGTCTCAGTGGGTGGGTGCACCCCTCGTGGTCCTGACTTCCTTGCTCATCTTCTCCCTCCTTATGCTCCTCATTGGGACCTTGGGAGCTCAGTCCAGTGCTCCAGTGTGGGTCTCTGTCTCTATCTCCATCCATCACCAGATGAAGGTTCTATGGTGATATTGAAGCATATTTTTATGAAGTTCAGTCTGCCCCCAAGTATGTTATGTAGCTTAGGCTTCTGTGAACTAGTTATTGTCCTGACTTAACTTCCACGTGCCATCGTTATAGATATGTGACTCCATTTCTGGCTATAAAAGTCCCCATGATCTATCACAGTCCCAGCATTGTTTAAAAGTCCAGTCTTTTCCTGAGTCTCAGAGTAATCTCTAACTGTAGCCCCTTATAAAACCAAATTGCAAATTACATACTTTTTCTGGCTAGAAATGGAATCACATACCTATAATGAACATCAATTCCTAAAATGATACTGTGTGCTAATATGAGCCATGTCAGATTTTGATCCTGGCCTACCATGACACTAATGTGATCACAGAGCTGACAGGAGTTTATTGGGAAACATGAAGACTACAGTGTAAACCTATTTCTGGGATTTAATTATACCCTTCCCCAACAGAGCACTAATAGGTGCTGGTTTGTCTCAAAGTATCCAAGCTACACGGAATCCATCCTCACCCTTTCCTTTTCACTTCACATAAATGCATAGAGACTATAATTGGGTGAACTCATGACTTCCTAAGGGCATCAGTGCTCACACTGCCTTATTACCTCCCTTGGGAGTCGGATTCCTTGTGCTTGTAGAATGGGCATTTGATAGGGGCTTCATTAGGCTTTTATTGTGTTCCCCATGGACTCCATGTTTCCTATAAAGCCTGTAGGCACGACTCAACACAATGTATAAATGGAGAACAGTATCCCCGTTGATCCTTGACTTTACAAAAGCTTTGCCAGCCATGACTGAATCCAACCCAATCTCCAAACTCATACCTAGAAAAGGAAACTAACTCTTTGATGTGGGATTCTGAAATAAGTGTAGTTTTCATCTACAGACCTTAAACTACTGCATTAACTATGAAATCTACCCAGAGCCACTCGCTCATCTATCTACTGTAACTTCCCCTGTACTAAGGCATTTCCTTTGTGATGCTATCCTGTGACATAGCCACAGTTACAGGATAGTGGTTTCCCAACAGACTGCTTTAGACTACTATAAGCCTCAGGAATAAGCCAAATAAATGACTTTTCAGTATCAGGCAGCTGTTTAACAAACCTAGTTAGTACTCTAAACCTGAGAACTTGGCTGGCTTCACACAAAGAACATTATTTGAGAAAGGGTATCTGAGTATAATAACTAATTCCATGCCATTCTCACTGAAGGCCCCAGTTAGACCTGCCTGAATGCAGGTCTTAAGCCAGTTAGCGGTTATATACAGCCATTATTTAGCTTGCCAGTGTACACAGAAGCATATATTCCACACAATCTCTTAGCACCGTATGTACTAGTACTTGTGTACATCCTCTCTTTTAAAATGAGACAGAGAAATTTTTCCAAAGAAAGATAGATCATAGCTTCTATTTTGTATGTTTCTTTCTAGTTTCACTGTGATCTCTCTGTGTTCTGCAAATACCCCCTGTAGGGCAAAATGGCCAGCCAAAGCAAACACATTGGCCCTGAAACCAGAGAGCCAAAAAGCAGCACACTTTGATCCTGAAACCAGAGCCAAAGAAACACACTCTGTCCCTGATGAATTCAGCACAAAAACCAACCAATCCCCGGGCACAAAAACCAGCCAATCTTTGAGCTTGTCCAAACTCAGGGATTGAAATCTGGCGAATTCCCACCCTGAAAATCTTCACCCTAGGGAAAGAAAAAAAAAGCCATCCCTTAAGAAGCCCTATGTAAGCCCTGAGCATGCTCAGTTTGCTACTGCCTTTTTCCACCCCAGCAGAGGCAGCCACCCTCCTGGATTCTTCCCTCCTAATAAATCTCTTGAATGAGGTTTGGGTGAAGACCTTTCCGTGGACCAGACAGGGAGCCTGGGTGGAGTGGAGCGGAGCGAAGCAAGGCTGTAACATTTTCGTTGAAGAAACCTTCCGCTACTAGAATGGGAGTTGTTACTTTCGGGAAACCCTCCACTCTCTGGACCAGGGCTGTAAGCAGCTGTGCTTGCAAGGACTTTGTGGTTCTCCTTGAAGCCTGACTGCCAGGATCCCTTTCCATCCAAGCTGTAACGCTTATACCCCTGATCCTTGAGGTTTGCATCAATAGTGTGCCACTCTTCTCCATGACCTCCCCCACCCACTGCCATCACCGGCTGTCCTGAAGCACTCCCACCCATGAATGAAGCCTTGCCCACCAAAGTCTGTTTTCCCCAACCCCGCTCCAGATAGCAGCACCGCGCCGGTAATCCCAAAGCCTTCTCTGCTCACAGCTCACCAGGATAGCTTCTCTGTCGTCTCCCTCAGCCACTTCATCACATTAAGGCCACTGTTCACACAAGCCCCATTAGAACCCCCCCCCCACACACACACACATCACAGTTTAAGTGTCCCATGCTGACCACAGTTTCTCTTCCAACCCCACACCCCACTCCATCCCACATCCTAAACCCGGCATTTTTGTGTGTTCCATGGTCACCTCTAGCTCAAAATGATGGACGGAAAAGAAACCAGAACCACTGGTAACGGTTTAGACAGTTTTAATAACATGTCTAACTTACCCCCCAGTTAGGGGGACATTGGGGCGATATGAGGCTCAAGTTTTGAGCCTCCAACCTCCGAGACTTAGTTATCAGTTCTCGTCGGGTTTTGATGGCTCAGCGACCGAAGATTTGCTGTCAGTTTTGAAGATTTTACGAAGATGTTTGTTGTTTTCAACAGCCCAGGATACGTGCTCTGGAGTTATGCGCTTCCTGCCGCTAGCTTGGGCCTCCTTGCCGGACAGGTCAAGCACATCAGCTGTCAGGTACTCTAGTACGCCAGCAAGGAAAACTGGTGCGGAAGCACTCAAACGCTGAGAGAAGTTTCCTTCTCGAAGAAAGCGCTCAATTCTGCTCACCGGGAAATTGAGTTGAGCTCTTGCGGAGCGGGAGATGTGACACTTCTGCTGGTTGTCTTCCATTGTGCCCCTTTGAAGACTCGAGTACCGGTGTGAAGAGTTGCATTCAGCTCGGGATCTTTTCTGGCCTGGGTCTCTCAACACATCGGCTTTTATACCCACCAAGTGCTCATCCCTGCTCCTCATTGGTCAGGAGGGACTTTGTGACAACAAACTTTGTTATGTCATTAGTGCCCACTGGACTCTGGTCCTCCTCCTCCAGTCTAGAAGTGTCCATGTAAGGAAACTGCTCACATTTCTGAGTACATCCCCTTTTGGGGGGAAATTGTTCTAATTTATTTCAACAGTACAGCAAATGTTAATTTTCAACTTAAAACTGTCCATCCCACTTTAGTATGCCATTGCATCTTCTAAGATTCTACCATTGCCTTTGACATTTTGCACATCCTTGTGTGAACCGTTGGGCACTGACAGATCTGTCACAGTTTGAACATGAAATGCCCCCCCCCCATAGGTGGATGAGTAACATCAGGGAATCCATCAGTATACTTAGACTTTGTTCAGGGATTAGAAAGCTATCTGATGTGTAAAATCTGGGTTCTGGACCATGGCTTTGGATTATTATAGAAGTAAATCTAGCCCTCTGAGACAGTTTCAGGGCAGTATTGCAGAAGAAAGGCCTTAATCTGGAGGAAGACACAGTAGGTGGATTAAAGATGCTGGATGGACAGTTCTATGTGATCAAGTGGTCACCTTTTATTAGATTTTGTTTAGTACCTGAGGTGGAATTTGAGGTTAGACTTGTTTGATTCCCTTTTGGCAAGTCCTTTACACAATAGGCCTGGGAAGGGATATAAGTTCAAAGAAAGAGACCTTATAGCTTCAACTCTACAATTCAATTACAGGACAAGTATAAGCAAATCAACCAGTATTCTCATAGAGTATAACTTTCTCGGTTGACTTGAGATAAAATAGACAAATAGAAATATCTGGCAAAGGCGGACAATGAGGGCTGCTGAGAAGCCAAGGACAATGGCACTGGGTTTTGATCCTACGTCATGTTCTGGCTGTGTGGGAGCCTAGCCAGTTTGGATGTTCACCTTCCTAGACCAGGATGAGGGGGGGGAGGACTTTGGACTTTCCACAGGGCAAGGAACCCTGACTGCTCTTCAGACTTGAGAGGGTGCGGGAGAGGAGTTGGGGGAGAGGGAGAGGAGTGGGGGGATGGGGAGAGGAGTGGGGGGGGGGAGTGGGAGGCTGGGAGGAGGCGGAAATTGTTTTTTTTTCTCAATAAAACAAAAAGAAAGTTAAAAAAAAAAGAAATATCTGGCAAGCGTCATTCTCTTCTGTCTTCTGCCAAAAGTGATTAATTTAGATAAATTGCAGGCTCTCTAGAGAGGCGCATCCTGAAAACAGTTGCTTAACAATTCTACCTCTTCTAAAATGTCTATTTCCATCTGACTTCGCCTTCCCTCCACCATCATGTGAATGCTCATGTCTACAGTGCGGAGGCCTTGCCCAACACCCATTTTCTTCTGATCCGAGACCTTCACTCCCTTGAAAGACTTCCAAGTAGATTTTCTGATCATCAGCAGTGTCTCCTAAATTACCATACCAAAAATCCAACTTGCCAGTGAGGCTCCAGCCAACTTCCAAGCTTCTCTGAGGTTTCTTTAGTACTCAGAGTCAATGGGGGAACTTCTGTGCCCTCCCCTCCACCCAATTTCTCCAGTCACTCAATTCCTCCCCTCTCCCCAAGCCAACCCCAGGGAGAAGTGCTCACTATACTCACTCTAAATCACCCATTCAAACACCCATTACTAACCACAACTTCCATCCTCCACCCTCTCCTAGTATCTTATGAAAACCCCTAACTCAGAACGGCAAATTAAGAGTCAGAACAACTAGCTTCCATTTAAACATTTTATTAGTATTCAAGGACACCAGGGGAGCCTCCTCTGCTATTAGACTTCATGGTCCTAGCTGAGTCTGTGAGGCTTCCCACCCTTGGGTTCTGTCCCCCATTCTTCAGCCATTTCTTCTGGGTCCAGGCATCTCATCAAACAGAGAGAAAGGCGCGTTCTTGAAGGCACGAGATGGTTCGCGTTCGTTGTTTCCTTGCCTCTCTCCATCTTGTGGGATATCTTGCTGGCTGTTGATGTTGGCTTCGGAGCCCGCCACCTCCAGGATATAGTCGGTAAGGTAATCAAGCATGGCGAGGAGGAAATCGGAAGTGGTGGAACCTAGGCAGGGAGTATATTGCTCCTCCTGCAGTAGGCGGTACACGTAGTTCACAGGAACCTCTACCTCAGGCCTAGGAGAAGGATCTTCCATCTTGTTGTCACTGCAAGAATTTTCTTCGTTCTTCCCTGACATGATGGTTTGATGGACTGGGCTCCGGTAAGCTCTGCTTGGTTCACCAGCGGGACTGGTTTTCTGAAGACAGTGTTCAGCCCTGCCCATTGCATCCCCAGCCTGGTCAGGAGCTGCCTTTATGACATCTTAGGCTTTGAGATGTCACCGGTGCCTGGTGGGCACCAGTGAGTTCAAACTAGGCCTCAGTCTAGAAATATCTGTCACTGCAATCTGACCTCCCTACCGTGATTTTGAGAGACATTTAACTCCCCTCAATTACACTCTAATTAACAACATTGTAGAAATAATGTATTTTAGTTGAAAACTGTCTATTAACCTTTCATTAATTACAGGGCACTGATAAACATGTCAAATATGCTTTCCTGGTAGAGATTTGACTGACCTCCTCAAACAGTTCTGAGAGTCATTTTGATTCAATTTACTTATTTTAGTAGGCTTGCTTATAATTCCTGTACACTATTTGTACTCTCCTTTGAACTTGTTCATTCCACATCCACATGAGTTTTTCCAATTTGAAAAACATCTATTTTTGGAAGAGGACATGCTCAGAATTCTCGCTGATTCTGTAGCTTGAGATGCCACCCTTTCCCCCAGTATTCTCCTGGAACAGATTTACTCTTCAATACCATCTCTATCTTTTTCCCTTATGTTATGTCCCCATTATTTCCTCCATCTACTTCCTTGTTTGGCTTTGGACTGCTTTTTCTAGGGGATTCTTTCTGGATCCTCTCCATTTCCTGAATCCTGCTGCCTGGGATCTTCTCCAGTTTCCTCTTTCCTTTCCCTGGGGTTCTTGCCACTAGGATGCCACTCTCTTCCCTGTTCTGAGTTTCAGTTCCCTTTTTTCACTCTAAAGCCCTCGAGTTCATTCTTGTATCTTCTTCTTGTATGACTCTGATCATTTGGGGGCTCTCTGTTGGCATCTGCCCCCTCTGTTGCTTCTCTGGTCTCACCTGCCTCAGAAGAGCCCATAACTACTTGTTCTCTGTGAAGCCATAGTGTCCAGTGCTGATGATTTTAAACCCCTTCCTTGTTTTGCTGTTCTCTTCTGTATATACTACTCTCTTCCATATCTACGGTAACCCCAGAAGAGCACCTAGGGTGCCAGTTCCTCAAGAGCAGCTCTCTGAGAGACACTACTGGTCTCTCTGTCTGTGTACACTCCCTGCTTGTATCCCTGCCCACTTTCCAACCTGATTTCTGTCTTTCTGGTCCAAGATGTCCGGGTGCCACAGGCCTTTCCTGGTCTCCCTTCTCTTGACATGAGCACAAACAGAAAAGCAAATACTGGGCATACTCTCATTCACAATAGCTTAATAATTTAAAATTTAATTTAAAATAATTTAAAAATAAATCTCAGCTCTACCACTCCTTGATAAATGCCTACAGTACATATACTTGCTCCACCATATCCATTACTATACTGTTCACAATTGCCAGGAAGTGGAAACATCCTAAATGCCCTTTAATTGTTGAATGGATAATAAAAATATAGAATAGATACACTATGGAAAACTCTTCAGCTATATAAAAAAATAAAACCATGAACTTCTCAGGTATAGAACTAGAAAAAGATCATATTGAGTGAAGCAACCCAGACCCAAAAAGACAACCCCCCTATGTTCTCTCCCATTGGAGGTGCCTAGCTCTAAATCTTCAGACATGAGTACATATCCTGGAGTAATTGCAGAAACTATCAACATAAAGGGGAACCACTGACAGGGTAGAGAAGGGAGTAACAGGGTCCATGTGGTCTGATCAGGGCATGGGAGAAAAGCAGTGGCTTTAATTAAGGAGGAGGAGAGAAAAATACAGAAGGATGAAAGTATCAAATAGCAGGTAGGATATATGAAAAAGTTAAAAGGAAAAAATATAATATACTTGAGATTGTGTATAAATATTCACATATAATTTGAATGAAATTTTATCACCTGGGCTGAAAATGTTCCCTACAAGAAGCAAAGACCCTCTAGCAAAAACTCAACACCAGGCATGAGAGACCTCCTTTGGTATTACTGGTCAGTGTTCTTCAAGAGACTACCCAAACCTACATCTATGACTACTGCACTTGGTTGACCCCCAGAAATAGAAAGTAAGTCCATATTTCTGAAAAAACAAATCACTTCAGTCATGGGACCCAGAGGCCCCTGATCTGGAACTGACCTGAATGCCTCCTCCCTGAGTAGTACTAACAGGTACAATGAAAGCACCTAAAGGAAAAAACCAACCATTCATCCTTCCCAGTTATGATTCCCATGAACCACCACCGCAACAAGAGTGGCACGGTAACCCTAGGGATGCAGTAGTAATATGGAATACCTTGATGGTAACCGACAGCTCTCTAATTGTACTTAAGACTCACTCAACAAAAACCAAGTGCCCAGGGCTAGTGAAGTCATGGACCTTGGAAGAGAACTTAAAACCACCAATTTACTAAATCAGCATAATCTCTAGCTACACTCTAAATATTTGTTCTTATAGCCACAGACAAATATAATCCATCTCTCATTTTGCAACAGATGGAGACCATTACAGAAGCACAGCCAAACAAAATGACAAGTTGTGGAGTCCAGTGCCAATGGATACATAGATAAAACAACTGCTAAGGTTCAGGAACACTGTGGAAGAGAGGGTGGAAAGATTGAAAGATTCAGAGGGTTCAGAGAGTTTACTGTGAGATTCTTGTCTCCTAGACAGAAGTTACACCCATAAAGTCTCACCAACATGACTGCCCAATCATGAGCTGAACAAGAATAAAAATAAACATTTAATGTGTGAATTTCTGTGAGACTCAGCCCTACATAAATATC